TTGCCATCCTCTTCTTCTCATTCAGGATGGCCTTTATTTTCTTGGTGATCCAAGGTTTATTGTTGGGGTAACAGGTGACAGTCAGAGCTGGAACATTGCAGTCCACACAGAAGTGGATATAATCCGTAATGCACTCTTTGAGCCCATCAATGTCCTCACAGTAGGGCTCACAGAGTGCAGGCCAGTCAGTCACCTCAAAGCAGGCCTGCAGTGCCTCACAAGCCTCCTCTGACCACCTGCTCACAGTTCTTGTGGTCGTTGGCTTCCTCTTCACCACAGGCAGATAACAGGGTTTGAGATGAACCAGGTTGCAATCTGACCTGCCCAGAGGGGGGAGATAAGAGGAGATGTATGCATCTTTAATGTTAGCATACATCAGGTCCAGGGTTCTCTGATCTCTGGTAGGGCAGCTCACATATTGTTTGAAGGTCGGCAGAACTTTGTTCATGGTGACAACAAAAAGACTTATAACATGTGACGAGGTTTTTACCCACTATGATCCATCCAGACCCATCCATCTAGCATTTGACGCATCCCTATACGGCACTGGCGCAGTCTTGTCGCACACAATGGACAATAGACTTGAACGCCCAATTGCATTTGCTTCAAGGTCCCTCTCAAGTGCCAAATGCAATTATGCACAGATAGACAGGGAGGCCCTTAGCCTAGTATGGGGTATTAAAAAGTTCCAACATTACCTCTATGGCTGAAGGTCAATATTCATCCTAAGGAAAGGAGTTCCACTGATTGACCAAAGGTGACCCGACAGGGACGTTCCACACAAAACTGGTAGACCAGCTGCCAGTTACAAATGCCATGATATGAAAAGAATGACATTACAGTATAAGGCTGGCCTGCCCATGGGAATCCATGTTTTCCAGAGTTTTCAGCAAGACGTGATCAGCTGTCAGTCTGCCAGGGAACCTTGATGTGTGGATCAGGCATGGTAGTGCCCTTCAAGCTTCAGGGTCATGTCCGTAGGATGAAGATAAAAAGTATGGCCCATATCTACGTCTGGTGGCCAAGGATAGATAAACAAATCGAGGACATCACCAAAACCTGCCTAGGATGCCAGAGCATCCAAATGCACCCCCACAGGCTCCCCTACATCCATGGGAATGGCCATCGGCACCCTGGCAGAGAGTGCACATTGATTTTGCTGGCTCATTAATGAACTCTATGTTTCTCATAGCTTTGGATGCACACTCAAAATGGCCAGAAACAGTCCCAATTAAATCAACAACATCAGAGAAGACCATTTCGTACTGAGAACCATCTTCGCCAGGAATGGCTTGTCTGAGCAAATTGTGAGTGGCAATGGCCCACAGTATACTTCCGAAGAGTTTCAAGATTTCATGACAAAGAATGGTATCAAGCATTTCAAGTCAGTACCTCATCATCCACAAACAAATGGGTTAGCCGAACATTTCGTACAAACATTCAATAAGTCCATAAAAGTAATAACAAAAGAAGACATCTCTCTTCAACACAAAATTGATCATTTCCTCCTGATGTAAAGCAATTCTGTGCATGCCACAATGAATCAGACACATGAAATGCTGTTTATGAACAGACAGCTCAGATCTCGCATTGACCTTCTGAAACCAAATCTGAGGAGAGACAAGCAGAACAAACAGTTCAGTGGCTTTTCAGGTGAAACAGTTCAGTAGCTTCGATGTGGGACAGCAGGTTCTGGCTCGTGACTACCGAGGAGACAAGGAGACGCCTGAAAAGATGGTCACTAGAAGTAGCCCTCTGATGTAAGAGGTGGACACTGGTGAGCATACCTGGAGACGCCATGTGGATCAGCTGTGGATGCAACCAACACATCCACCTGATCCTGGAACCAATTCTGAGCACAGTACTGCGACACCTACAGTTACAGAGGAAGTGCCTGCTGCAGTGAGCAAGTTCCCAGGCTTAACCCTGAATGACTCAGGGCACCACCGAAAATATTGGATTTATGAATTCACCTATGGGACTTAGCCAAAACAACATAACATTGCCAATGCAATAAACACAATTTGTGCTGTGTAGCATTAATCTAAAAGGGGAGGAGTGTAATATATAAAGTGGGTTTATTTGCTTCAGCGGAGCCACTGTCATAGTTACTGAGTTTACCTATAGGTTATCCGCCAGCCAGGCGCGCTGGAAGCTGTTTCAAGCGAGGGGGGCTGATGGCTGGGTTGGAAAACACATCACGTCATTATGTTGAGGGCTG